CAGTGCAATTACTCACTACCTACACACACATTGTCACGTCACGCCGTGACCATTTTATATATACCAGACAACCCCCAATCTTGCAAATGCTAGAGCACTCCCGAAGGAACAGGATAGTTCTAGAAAACGGGTGGCATGATACTAGTCACGTGATCTCGCTGACGCAACAATACTAATACATAATGAAAACACGTAATAAAAGCATGTGATATGTAAACTTTTAAACTTTTAAACTTTTAAAATTTATCGTTTATTCGGTTTCTAAGCAGTTTTAGCATAAATACTTGGTCCAAAAGGCCGTTGAGGTTGCCTTTCAAATTGCCATGTTTCTTTGTTCTCTATAGTAGATAATGCCTATTCTGCCCAAACAAATATTACAGTAACATATAGCATTTGTGTTGAAAATATCGGTGATTATAGTATCCTTTAATAGCCAAATTATCAATGTCTGTGTCATATAGCAGACCAATGCTGTGAGAGAACAAGGTTCATGAGGTAATTCTCTAAACTGGAGAAAGAAACAAAGTTTACCTGTAGAATTGAAGCATGCTTTGTTGGCTCAGTTCTACTCGAAGTTTTTCAAGTAAAAACCATTTTTAAGTAGATGGTAAATCTTTTTTGTGAGTGTAAAACACTTAAATATCCAATTTCGATATTTCAGGCAAGTCTCCACCTGGAAGGGATTAACTCAAGAACACATTGTTCAATGCCTAGTTCTAAGTTTAAATGGCCCTAAATGCTACTGAACACCTGGATTGCAGATTTGACCCATTCGAGAATCTGATAATCTATCAGGACAAGTTCAGGGCTCAGAATAGGATCTTCAGCAATTGCATTGGAAAGCAGACCTGACAATGGCCTTTTAAGAAAATTACGATGCTCTTTGACAGACTCCCAAATAAGCTTATGTGACAGAACCTGGAAGTGAGGAATATCTTAACTCTCGTGGAAGCAGTGTTCATTCTGATATAATTTGAAGTATTCAGTTTAAAATGTGCATTGGAGAGAAAGAAGCCTACAGCAGCATTTGCAGAGGCAATTTTGCTGACAAACGGTACTACATAGTGTAGGCTACACCCAAAAAAATGGCTAATGATAGGCCATAAACAAATTTCAGCACTGCAATGCAACCACACTTGTCACCAGTGAGTGGGAAGGGCTATTCAAGTCTGCCCATCTCGTACATGCTAGAGCAAGATATGCCCATGGGGTAAATACAGCAGTAAGGTCCACTTATGGGATACATGCCACAGCAATGGCTGATGTCTCTGTTAGAGATCATCAGTGTGGGAAGAAGAAAGTTTCTGCTTCTCTTATGGATTGGTGGAGAACTGGCAGGGAAAATGCCCATACTTTGCCATGCACCAAAGATGGCATAGCTATCAGTTTTAGCCAATGACTAAACAGATGTCAGCCAACCCACAACATCAGCACCAAAGTAGGTAGGGTTATTAGTGTCAGCTTTCAGATCAGCATGTCTAAAATGACCAGTGACAATTGGTAAATGCCCTTGCAAATGCTCTGGAAAACTGACACAACCCAAGTCAGGCTTCCCACCAATGTAGGAGAGCACAGTGTACTGCTTGCACCAAAATGTTTAGTGATGAACCCAACTCTGTCAGGGCTGGGTGGAGCTTTGTATATGCTGATAAGGGTAAAAGGGTGAAAGGTCGAATTCCTGGTAGACATAAGAGTGGTAAGAACCACGGTGGATCTCATAATCTTTCAAGCCCTTCAAGTGAGACCACCACTATGGTCAGTGGACAAGGACTTCATTTTAGTGAATGGTGATAGACTAGACATTAGAGAGGAAGTGGCTCTCCATCTCAATCTAGGAGGTGTCACCCAAAGAATGAAAGTAGTCATTTT